AGATCTTTAGTATTTGCCCATTAAAAATTATCATTTCTATGACGCACCAAAAAAATACATCTTGGAATTGTTGTGCGTGATTCAGCATTACATGTATATTAAAGTTTTTTTATCTTTCAATTTTGTTTGTTGGTAAGTGACTTTACTCAAGCCATTGCTACTGTATAATTTGTCTACGCTCAATTCTTCTTTTTTTTTCAATCTTTTCTTTGATATTGTAATTGCTATTTCATTTCCACAGCAGGGAATTGTATAGCAAAGAGCAGTCAAGCAAAGACATTTTTTAAGTAATTGAAATTTTTTGTTGGTGTTTTCCAACACTCCTCGAAATACATTGTGTTCAGGAATTCTCTGCATCATTTTGGTGAAGAGGGGTCCTGTTATAAGGTCACCATTATAATTGTAAAAAATAGTGTACAGCTGTATGCACATTTAGGCACACCTACATGTACATACTTGTATCTGGTGTGCATGTAGAATACAGTCAAGACAAGGATAATGGTTACCCTGGTGACAGAGTTTGACAGTTTCTGGTAACATCTCAATAAAACAACCTCCATCAGAACATAATTAAAACACGAAATGCCCTTCAAATTAATTTTCAGAATAACTTGCGCTCCAATTAATTGTCTGGTTATCGTTGGATTCACAAATTGAATTGTGAAGCAGTTCAGTGATTTCCCTTATTTGACATCATCTCTTTTTGTTTTGAAGTGTCATAAGTATTGACTAAGTTCCTTTTTTCCTGAGGTCAGAGGAGCAATCATGCAATACTTAAAACTTACTGACTTCATACACTTGTTTCATAAAAGTTCATTATATTTTTGTGTCAATCAATTTGTCATGCACTTTTTGTCAATCAATTTAGCAAGTCTTTCATTGCTTGGTACGGCTCACTGAACATTCCTCAGGTTTGCGCTAGCACCATCCAAAATATATCTTTTGTGAGTACGTGTGGTTCTTAAAAAGAACATTTTTGTTCTGAATTTTCCCGAATCCTGCAAACTTCTTTACCCCACAAGAATTTAGTGGCAAATCCTTGCAGTTTGCTCTGTTACTTCAAGGGGCATCAGGTTGTCCAGATCCTTTGGGTTTGGGGACTTTGTGGGATGACAAAAGGGGCAGGGTTAAGAGTAAAAGACCATCTAATTTGACTTCCCTGAAGACTGTCACACTCTTGAAGTCATTCATTTCTCTGTGCATTGTTTGCTTTTACTTTGAACAGATTTTTGGGCCAATCTACAAGCAGGCCATGAGTCAAAAGAAAAAACAGGATAAGAAGAAGAAGTAGACAAGGAAATCTCCACCCGGATGGTTTGGTATTGTAGTCTTGCCTTGTCGTAATACATCAAAGGCTCAATGACAGAGATTCAGAGTTGTTCCCAATCTGACACAACATTTGGTGGTTAAAAGGGGGCTTGTAGTAGTTGCTGCCTTGCTTGCAGCATTTCTTTAACCCTAACACTCCTCAGTCCTCCAACAGGTGAAGGATTGAGGAGGGTTAGGGTTAATGGTGATTTTTGCCATCACTTGAGCTTAAAATACTATAATCACTCCTACAGTTGGATCATTATGCACGGTGTAAATGGAGCGACACCATTTTTTCCCCTTTTGTTATATAAAAGCACCTTTAATATTCAGTCAAGAATGAAAGTAACTGTTTGTCCATTCATTTTTGACTGTGGATGAGAGTAAAATGGATCAAAGACAAAAAACTCTGTAGTTTCACGCCAATTGTAGCCTGCAAGCTGATTGTGGGGAAGTCCAAATGATGGCAGAAATTTGTAACCACCATGAATGTACACAGAGATAATGTGACTTACCACCTGTATCAAATTTTATGTGTCTTGTGCATGCAGGACACTAGCCAAAACAGAATTGCATCAAGCCACCTGTCTGCCTGTCGTGGGAAAGTGCAGAAAGTATTTAGGACAGGCACTTTTTGCTTCTACCAAAGTTACAAACCCCCAGTTATTTCATAGATCTTTAACACTGGTAAATGAATCTTTATTCCAATGGAAGCATTCAGCACATTGGAAATATATTTTCTGATAGCACCAGTGGGGTGACAGTTTGCTGGGAGGGGACTGCCAGGTTTTAACATTTATGAGAATGGACAGGCAGATATTGTAATCCTAGATGAAACCCTGGGCCGAAGGTAATCAGCATTGAAACATCTATTGAATTAGTACAAATGAAAGGGAAACCCCTGTAAAGTGTTTGAAATAACAGTAACCTGCATCACAGCAAGAATGACCATGAAATCTCTGTGATGGATCCTTGAGAGCTGCACACTACTGATGAGATTGTTTATCAATTGTTCCAAGTCTAGCACAGCATGGACAACCTTGCTGTGTTTGCCTTCAGATAGTGAATTGATATCTGGCTTGAGTGTTTTCAACAAGCTTTGGTATGCTATTTTTTCAAGTGCAGTGCAGTGCATCTTTGCCATACTTAAATGGCACAAAGGCACCTGACATGTCTGAACGTTTCAAAACCCACATCCAGTGGTTTCTTGTGTTTGCTCAAAATCACTCGACACAGCGACTGCATACTTTGATACATGTATATGGAATTCAAGATTTGAAGGTGCACCCGTACTCTAAAAATGACAAGTTGTCCAAAGACTCCAAACTGACTGTTGACTCTCCTCAACAGGTCAGCACTAACAAAGCTTGGAACACAGCCGACTTACAAACTATCAACAGTAGAGGGAGGTCATTTCTGAGGCATTTTCATGACAATGCCCATTGTTCATTAAAGTCAATAGGACCAGACCTTTACGTTACCCCCACTCCCTGAAGTGACTGAAAGGGATCGGTTTTGATTATATTGAGAAATAAGCCAATTAACTGGAAGTGTGCAGCTTCTGTATGAATGGTAACAAGATCTCACCAAACCCATAGAAACAAGTAACAGTTAGGTGTTTAATGATGAACTGATAACAAAAATTATTTCTTACATTTGTATGTGTGGAATTTTGGCAATCTGCCAGTGAAATGCGTTTGCATCTTTATCAAGATTTGTTCCGTGTTACACAATTGATATATTTTGAATTTCTAATTCACCTGGCCTTTCTTGTCATGTATGTATTTTAAATTAAAATTTAATTGCTGTTGCAAACATTTGTTGTCTATGTTTTACTAGCCCCGAGAGCTGGAGTTTAATTAAAGCGTTCTTCCAACTTGTATTTATTACACTGAAGGAGTGAGTATGCCGGATGCTGTATCATTGAACTCTGGCAAACTGTATTCATCTGCCCCAAAATAAAAAAAACATTGGGTCTGTAATCACATCCTCATTTGGGTTTCACGTTTTTCAAAGAAGTTGTTCAAGTTGGGCCATGTTTGTTTCACACGGATCTGGATCACGATCAGTGATCCATCGTTGGTTTACGAACACCAAGACCCGCATAGTAGATGATGCGAATCTACGTTGGGATCACTGGTCAAGATCCAGATTTGGTGAAACAAACCAGCCCATAGGTATATAGACTATTCTGATCAGACGCCATAACTGGGGTGGCACCGCACTCACACGCACATTCTTCAGCCTGACGCGTGCGTCCATCTGGCAAATCACGACACCCTGTTGGTCGAAGAGGCATGTAACGCACGCGTACCACCTGTTCGCGAGCGTTGTGCCACCGCAGTAATAGCTTCTAATTCTGCTGTTCAAATTTCACTATAGGGAAAATCATTCTTGGTATTGTCCAGACATGGCAGAAGCGCATGCACGCTGACGTGAGGTGTGTGTCATGTTGTGTGACTGTGTGAAAGCTACATGTAAGTACAAAATGTAGGGCTCTGGAGAGGTCTGTACAGTAAGCCTTTTGCAAGTTAACTTTGACCCAAATCTGGTACACTAAGTTCTTTAAATTTACGTGAACAAAACAACTTGAATTCTCCATGCTAAAACTACTGTTGCTACACCTCGTGATTCGGGGCAAGCTTTTCCTTAGTTACATAAGAGACGCCTTGCAACAATACACTGTTCTCTATACATAAGAAGGGCACAAAGGAACCAGTCCATTTCAGAGATGGCGGTCACCACGTGAAAGCTTACCCCGAATCACGAGGTATAGCAACAGTGTATTTAGTCTGGGGAATTGTAATTGTTATGTTTGTGTGCAATCAGATAACTCAGTGTACCAGATTTTATTCAAATTTAACTCACAAATGGCTTATTGAGTACATTCACGTATGCAAATCAGCCTTGTGGTGTTGTTGATGTTGTGTAGTATTGATGATCACATTAACTTTGCCACAAGATGGCATTATAATCTGATTATCGGCATCATATGTGGCTTTGAGTTGTGAGCGAGACAAAAAGTCAGATCAGCCTGTTATCAAAATTCTGATTTGTGGAAAACACAACTTGCAATCATGAAAAACATGAATCGTTTACAAAAAGTACTTGGTTAGTGCAGGTTTTGGAACAAATGAGCAAACTCTGTGATAGTATATCACAGAAAATGAAATCCAACCCTAATGCATTTTGTTTGTGAAATAAGATACTGAAAGATACTGAATGTTTACACACAACCTATAGACAACTCATGGGTATGCATGTGTGCATAATAGTGAACTGCCGTAACACTGTCACGTGTTAAGTTCGTAGTAGGCCTAGCGCAATACACATCACATCATGACCTCTTTGATGTGACACAGAAGTGATGTCCTTGTACTCCTCTCAGTGGAAAAAAAGTTGTTCAGGCTATTCACCCTTCATCTCTTCGTTCTGGTTTTTGGGTTAATAATGTGTCTTCTACCCAGATAACCCATTTTTAAGCTTAGAATCAGGACTTCAAATTATTCTATTCCGGGTACCCAGTCACAAAAGAATTGTCTGAAGTAGTGAAGGCTGCATGAGAAGTCATATTGAGTCGAATATTATTTCATATACTTCAGGCAAAGGATTAATATTTTTCTCACAAACTTGGGTTCAAGTTAAGGCTTTTGTCCATTTGAAATGGTGATATCTGTGCCAAGGATATTGGTTGCTGTCTAACAGTTACAGGTGTTGACCGATGACGAAATGGTATATCATTGTTGTGAGCTCAAGGGAAGCTGTGTATCGATGTAGCAATCATATTGTGAAATTGACAGGCAGTGTGTAGAATCCCGAAGTAAGTTTCCTTGGAATCTTTTTTTTTCAGAATCACTGTATATGTTTGGTTGTTGACGTCAGACTTATACATACCTAATTTGTCACTGTACAATTTTTGTGTATAATTTATATATATAAATATGCATGTGGGGAGGACTGTATGTATTCTGTTAAAACAGAGTTTGACCAAGATTTTTTTTATCACAGAAGAGATGAATTTCTGAACCATAACTTAGGCATCATCTTTTTGTTTACGTGGATGGAATAAACTTTCAAGTTACACAGGGAAGAGAGATAGAATTTCAGGTTCAAAGTTTAAACCCATTTTGTTGGCAGTAATTAGTTGGTTGCACATATATAGTCAGTGTTAAATTGGAACCCCTTGAAGTCAGTATAAATCTGAATCTGCTTGCCCTGAAGAAGGTACATGTACTCAGTTACCGAAAGCTCGGCAATCACATATTTCAGAGCACTGATTTGATATTATATTCTCGTTGTAAATCTGCAGGGTCTTGGGTGTTAATTAAAGCCCCCTCCCATCAAATTAAAACTGCCTGTAGTTGTAACACAAAAGGATTTTTTCCAGTTCTTATGCAATACATGTATATTGTGACCCCGCATGGTGTTGTTATGGTAGGGGTCAAGGGCTATGACTTTGGGGCTGTAAATCTTAGCTAAATGGAAAAGTTTAGGTGGAGTTCATTCATAATATTTGGATCACAGTGCTACGTTTTGTGTTGCCATTTTGTTAAAAATTTGAAGCTAGTAAATTTTTACTGAAGTGTTTCAGCGATCCACGCATACCATGTACTCTCATTTTTTTGACTGGTTAATAAAGCTGTAATTTATTACACAGTAGAACCAAATTAAACATCACAAACATCATCTTCTTCTAGAAAATACCTGCAGCATGCCCCCATTGTTATTCTGGAGTACAAAGTTAGTCACAGTTGAATGATACATCTTACGTCTTAGGGGTACGACATTAAAGAGTACAGGAGCATATCATCAGAAATCTGATATAAAAAGACAAACTCGGACTTTCGAAATGACCACACAGAGGCAGCGAAAGTCAGCAACCACCTCAACCCCGTTTGAAATACATGCGTTTCGTTTTCCACTGAAATATATCCTGCCCATTGAAATATTTTCTAAGAACTGATTAGCTGAATTCTTCAATAGTGACTCTGTAGCCTGCTGATTTACAGATAACCGCTGATTTTTTGTTCCGCCAAGGTACCTTGAAGCAATTTCCAACAATATGTTGCTCATTGTTAAATTCTGTGGATTCCACAGAGAAGGAAACCAGCAGACTAGTGCCAGGGGTTATTATTGGTCAGATTTTCAGGATCTTTTACTTCTGTACATAGGCAGGCAGTAACCGAAAGAATTGTATGCTCTTCACGCACAATAGATAGTCGAATGATAATTGATCGCCTAACAGGGGCATGTTTGTATATGCTGTGTATTTAAGTTATGAATACGGGCGTACACTTACTTTTGGAACCAGTCCCGTGGTCCAAAGTTCTTTCATTTTTGTGGGGACATTTAATATTTCATCAGTTTTATTTCTCGTGGGGAAGCCCAGTACACGCAATTCAAGCTTTCCATGCATGGTAGACTATAAGTAGAAATCAACTTCATCTCTGACAACAGTATTATTTTGATTAATGTCTGCGCTGACGTTTGTTATTTGTACAGTTTATTCAATAAAATGATTTATAATGTTCACGGAATATATACATCATGCTCAGTATTATTAGTTCGCATGCACGTAACGTCTTGAATCACACGTCATGATCTTTCCCATCTTTCCCTATGCATGTTTTTTTCTTGGTGAATGATACTTGGCCCCCCCAAAAAATAAGAAACCACATCCACACATTGACATTTGTTGCTCAAACTTGTCATCCAACGTTGGTTGGAACCATCAACTTTGTACAGTTTTGGGTGGAGCGTCCATTGAGTTGGTTAAATATTTACTTTGGTCAACTGCTAATTTGGTAATGTGTCTGAATAACAAATGGTTTCCATTGCGCAGGTCATTGCAATTGAAGGATTGCATCCCCTCAACTTTTCCCATAGGATCGCCTCACGTTGAAGTACGTCTCCATTCTGCGTTGGTCACAGTATCTGAGGGAACACAACCACCACCTCATGTGACACAACAGAACTTAATTCGACCAAACTATCTTAAGCAAAACGAACACAGACGGATAAACAATATTCATTTATAGCATGCAAACATGAGTTCATTTACCCAGGCATTTTGTTCCGCAGCATGTCGCCAAACGATTCACGGTAAATTACAACAGAGCATATTACTTTACCGACTGAAATTTTGTGTTTCTTTTCCAGCCCATTCCGACACATTAATATTACGTTGCATGAATTATAAGTAATCCATCAAGTCTGCGTCCCCTGGAACCGATTAACAAAATTATACCGTACAACGTATAAAACTTGCACAACTTCTTTCACTTTTCCATAGTCTATTTGCCAGTTTGAGAGGTTGCATGGGGGGCAAAATAAATTTCTATTTTTCGAGTAAATTTGCTCTGGCACCGAGAAGAAAAGTGAATGAGTAATGCGTGTTGTAAGTGTTTCTACTCTTTGAAGGTTCTCCATTAGATCCGCTCGGTACTGTAAGTAAACGGCCATCTAATCTGAGAGCAAAGTGCATATGTATTCAGGGCAGGAGATTTTAGCAAAATGACCCATCAGGTTGACACCAGTTTGTAGGAATTATTTGATACGGGAAAGGGGAATCGACTTATGAGTAGACGACATGTATTTTGCAGTTTGTGCGAATTCCAGGATTTTGTCAGGTTTCGAGGGAATTTAATGAAACTAAACGGCACCAATATATAATGTTTGCTGTTTAACCGTCTTCCTGCATAGCTGTCTAAAGTGAATTAAAAAATAAGTGATGGTTTAATGATGTAGTTTTATTCAGCTGGAACAGTAAAGTGCTATCTTCGAAACTATCAATTAAAGAGCACCTCTAAGGAAAATACGTTTTCTCTTATTTTATCTGTTCAAATAAAGTTGGAAGCGTCCATATTGAATGCAGTGTTATTTGTCCTCAGAGCTCAACTATAACAAGCTTAAATGGGTTTTTTTTTCTGTTCATGCCAAGATGCAAGTTCTGAATGTAGATTGCGTCATTCTGAGAAAGAGAAAAGGAGGAGGAACCCTCGCCCTGTGTTCGCAGTGGATAAACCCTTGTGCATGCCGAACAATGCATGCGATTCCAAGTCGAATCAAGTATACATTGTTTAACGACCAGGACAGAGTAAACAAAAACTTGTCAATTAAGATTAATTCGAACATGTAATATGATAACACACAATAATTTCATGCTGTACACGATTGTCAGAGGCACTTGCTTTTAAAAACACTTTCACACACCGCATCTCCCATTATTGCTTCAGGAATGAACAATAACACTGAAGTTCGTAATTCTGGCTGATAAAACGTGGAATGACTTTAAAGAATGAGAGTCAGTAGACTAGCTTCTAACAAGTACAAATGCACATCTTGCAGGCACAGACGTCAGCACAGACCAGTTTGAACAGATGAACCCTAAATTGCCGGTGGAGCACAAAGGCACATCGCTGAGTATCTTTCTTTAAAAATCGCCAATTGCGGCGTTAGCATATATGTGCAGTAGTTTAGTGTACATGTACAGTACATGTACGTCCATAGGACGCCTGGGCACAGTTCAAGTGACTATCCGATAGCAAGATTCTGCTCTAGTCTTTCCTGCTGAGGGGATGAAGTCACGACGTTGGACTGTATCGTTAACAAGCTGGCAGACTTGTGTGCAGTCTCAGCATGGGAGCTTTTCTCAGTCCTTCCGATGTCCATGTTGGACATGTAAAGGCTGATTTCCTCTTCAGAGCTGTCCAAGTCTGATTCGGAAAGGTGGTCCCCCCGTTTCAGAGTCCTCCTCTTCCGCAGGAGTGCACCCTCGCTGGACTTGGTCCTCTTCAGTAGGCGCATGGCGGTGCGTTCGACCGAGCGGAGTTGCTCGTCCCGTGGACTGCCCATGGACACCGCGCGCCGCGTGCTGTCTGTACCGCCGCGCCTGGGCCGCTTCTTCCCGGACCCGCTCGCCGGGGGCAGGGCCTCGTCTCCACTTTGTCCGGAGTCGCTCGAGCTGCTGTCAGCCGACACGTGCACCTGCCCAAGACGCTGAGCCAGTTCTCTCTCGATGTCTGTATTGATGTTGTTGTCTTTTACAACGACATCCGTGAGTGTTCTCGAAAAACCACTCAGAAGTGTCAGAAGAACCTAAAGACAAGAGCACGATATCAAATTCAGACTGGCCCGTTTGTTAATTTTTAAATCCATACTGCCTGTAGAGAAAGTAGTAAAATATGACAACCTGAAGGTTGTGACCGCGTTTTAAATTTCCGAATACCAAAAGGCACCGTCATGTTCGGGTACCCATCAAACTTGCCTGAAGGAAACGTCAGATGCGGTCACACACCCAGGTAAGGTCTAACCACAGCGCGGTTTGTGTACTGACTTAAATCAACCCCGCAGTGTTTCAGAAAAGATTTGAACTTCAGTCACCTGAGGTGTGTGGCATTCAAGAACCACTGCGGAACAGCTTAAAAACAAGTGGTAAGCTGAGTCTACTTTTACAGTGACAATCCATCATCAGAACATAAACACAATACAGCAAAGCAGCGCCAAAACAATTAATGTAATGAAACAATAAAATGGCGTAAAACAGATCTGGCAATCGCAGGAGATTCCAACTTACCCTAGCTCCTTGGTCGGATGCTCCAACGCTCTCCAAGTCCATCACCTCCAGGGTCTTGCACGACGCCGCCGACACCGCTAGCATGCAGACTCCGGTATCCCCGAGGCGGTTGTAGTCGAGATTGAGAACTCTCAGGCAGCTATCGGACGAAATGGCCACGGCTAGATATGCCCAGCCCGCTGGGGTAACGGCAGGATTGGCGCTGAGGGTCAACTCCTTCAGCCCTACAGGACAACATAGTGACGCAATGTATAGGCCTAATGAAACATTGAACGATGTGCCAAAGTGGTGCACGATTAGTTTGGGATTTCTTATAGTACAGTTACGGCCCTGATTGATCACAAACATCACTTGTTGGGGCTCAACTAAGCATTCGGTCTATTCCGAAAGTGCCCCAGGATTCGATCCCAACGGACAAACATACTAAAGAAATATTACGTCCGATCATGCAAGGTAATTGAGTTGCAATAGAGACTACCACTAACTGGTGTCAGTTATCTATGGGACCGTATAATCGCCTTTCAGCATGGTTGCACTCAAACTTCCTTGAAAATGCTCATTGCTGAAGCATTACGAGTGGGGTAGCCGAAAAATAGGGTTGGCATTTATAAATGCAGGCTTCCATTGACTTAAACCGTTGATTTTTTTTCAAGGCATGGCAGCAACTGTATTGGTCAGATTCTTCAGATGCGCCTTTGCGGACAACTCCAAAAGAATCGAATGCATCCGTAGCGGTGGTTGTATTCACTACACGCACGAGGCATTAATATCAAATATGTTTTTCGCAACCCTTGAAACAGTTATGTTGCAGCACAAAACAGAAATATGATGCTTGTGCATGTAATCGAATAAACTTACATGTTGAGCCTCAGGGTATTAAAAGTACTAAATACCAATTATTCCATTGTACATCAGCCACAGTGCAGCTGCAAAACACCGCGGTCTGGTTCCAGTGTGTGTATGGGTGCACTCACCTGATCTGGCGCCTCTCGTCGGAAGGAGACGACATAACATCTGGATGCCTCGATCGCCAAGGCGACAGTCTCCAAGATCGAGGGAAGTGATGCCCGGATGCAGAGACAAGGAATCTATTAGCAGAGCGAGACCATCGTCCCCGAGTGGGGATCCGTGGAGACTGTGTTGGACAGAAAAAAACATGTTTGTGTTTGAATAAAAGATGCATTTGGCACAAGAAACAATCACCAATAGGAGTTGCTTATACTAATACTTATTATAGAAGCCAGAAGGACACCAAGCTTAATTGCAATTCTTTACTGCTCAAATTCACTCCTCGGGAACGCACACTGCGATCATGCATGCGATAATGGGCCAGAAGTTGTTTCTGTACTTTTCAAACACAGTTTTCGGATTATTGCTTTTCGGTGAGCATAAAGAAATGATCAACGAGGGGAGGGCCTCATGTCAGCGTTGAATCTTTTTCTGACGTTCCACTATGTAACACCACAACGATGTCGACAATTTCAAAACATGACTTTCAATAATGTACAATCTAGTGACGTGCTAGCCTATATTGTTAAACCAATGCTTTGATATTAAATGTTCAGTTTGAGGTTTTGTGGATTTTTGATCACTGGTGTATCAGTTGCTATTATACGGACTGAATGTTGTGTCTGGGTCAGGGTAATAACGCTTAGAGACTGCGTGGAAGCAACTGGTGGATTTTGGCGTCCGTCTGACAGGAAACACCACACAATGTAATGGTCCGGCAACTGACATTCAGGCTCGTGTGCCAGACATGATTATACGCAAACGTTCACAGTAGGATATCATCCGTGTTAGATGGAACTACGCAGTATTACTTTTTATGTAGTATTTAGTAGTGTTTGGTGTTTCGATGGCTTCGAGAAAATAATGTATCCTTTTGCTTTTATACTGACGGCCAGACACAGTTTAACCAGTGTCACCAAACTTACAACTGCCATGTAGAATGAACAGAGCATATTTGACCTCTCGGTTTACTACATGTCTACATTTTTGACCCCGTTCTATTCATCTCAAGCCCATTCAGTAGCAATGTCGGGTTCATATCGACGCTTGATGCGGGTTGACTGTGACGCTTCAGCTGGCACTTTCACGGGCAACAAACCGTCATATGTAAGCCTATGACGGTAGGCAAGCAAGCCGTAGCCATGGCAACGAAGCACATCGCCGGTTAGTTGCAATATGTTAAGTATTTATGAATTTATTCGGGCTCATTACGAATCGTTAATGAGTTTTTCAAACGGCCAAGATGCCCATGTGAAATATGATAGCTATTTCCACGGCAGTGTTGGTCCGAAGTGGGTTGTTTTTCGGTCTAAGCCTCTAGTAATAAGTACTCTCCAGTGTTATGTCCGAGTGACATGCATTCAACTACCGGTACACGTAAACTAATAATGTAAAGCAGCAACGCAACTTCCAACAAGAGGGGCAACATATATATATGTCTATTTTACATAATATTAAGTTGCCAGACATAAAATTTGCCTGTGATTTGGGAAGAAAATGAGAAACGTGGTTTGGACCTCACACACACGTATAAGTGTACATGTAGTTTAAAAGCTCGTCTGTTTTAATTTCCTGGTTAATTTAAAACATAACGCGATTTATATCTGTTATTTGGTGAATAGGGTTGCTTTGTTGAGGCCCCTTGATTGATGCATTATTGTTGCGATATGACGTCCGCGGGCATTGCGAAAGTCGCAGCTTTGTATCAGTTTGTATCATTAAGTCTTCCCGTTTTGTAAACGCATGTTGCCTATATTTTGACACGCTTTCCCGGCTAAACCACATCTTAATTACGCGCTTTTGTCTGTCTTCTTCGTATTCTATAGTTGGCTCAATTACTGCATGTTTAGCACTTGGATTTAATGAGGTTCAGCAGGTTATATTCCGCCATTTTATGCAGGTTACTTATTGATTTGTTGAAAGCCAGGGAATGAAACATTCCGCTAGAGAAATAAGGGTTATGTAAGAGTACACAAAGGCTGGGTAAACTCTTGCCCATCGATTCGCAAGTCGAAACAGACGTGGGTGATCCGAGTGGGGTTTTCTTGAGGGCATGGGTGTATTTCCAAAACACAATGTAGCAAAGGGTGCTGTCCCGTTTCTCTGCCTCCTCCTTTTTGTCAAAATTTATCGAGGGCTCGTGAAATCCCGAGGGGATGGGGTATACATCCCCCAATTTTTGATGGCGGTAGGCTATTGAATCCTCCCCCCACACATGTGCACACAACCTTTTTCGCGGTGAAAAAATAAAGTGGATTGTGAAGATGTTTTCGGACTTCCAAACAACCAAAATATATTTAATAGTATACTCAAAAAGGCGGAACGACCAAAAAAGTCTTAAATATGCCGCTTTGGTGTTAGATTCTGCAGAAGTGTAATACATATTATTACAAATGTACATCTGTATATCTGTATCAGGAACATTGCGCCCTATATGGTGTCAGCCCCCCCCCACCCGGTTTTTCAAATGTCCATGGCCGGGCAAGTCACACCACCCATTCCCCATCTCCCCCAACTTCCGGCACAATTTTACGCCGCTGCTCCGCTCCTCTGCTCAGTGCTTGCACCAAGATACAGTAATGATCCAGTGTGTTAACTTTAGAAGTGAGGTGGTATTTATGTTCCGAGGTGAGGCGACATGAATTTCTCTTTTGAAAACAGTGTCAACTTGGGAGCATTTTTAAGTATTCATATTACATTTGCCTTTTTTGTGTGTGTTGGGTTGGATGTAAAGCAGTTTTCTGCTAACTGTACTCTTAAGGGAAAAGGTCAGATTTGCTTAGAATCTGAATCCAAATTTGCGCTCTCCTTTGCCGGGTCAATTTGAATTCTTATCTGGGTCAACGCGGCATTTTCCGGCTCAAACTGACCTAAAAATATTTTGCAACCCGGGAAAGAGTCCAGCAAATCATGATTCAGATGCTGCATGGTCAATTTGACCCACCTGTTTCACGAGGAAGATTAGGTTCATGTAAAGCATGGGGGGTTAAGATGTCACGTGGACTCGCAGCTGATAGACGTTTGGAAATTGGGGTCATTGTTTGGCCGGTTTTATTTGGAACAGTTTCGGTTTGGGGCAGAGTTGAAATTTCATTCTATTTCAACAAGTAAAACAAATGCTGGGCGGGGAATGGGATAATGCTCCCTGAAAAGTGGGAGGACATTTCCAGATGCCACAATTTTTGAATGTCCTTATATTGGACCCGTTTTTTCTTTAATTTCTTTGAACACAATTAGTTGAATTAAACATTACAAAAAAAGCTGCATACATGCAGAGTCTACTTACTAAAGTCCAGTCAGAGACTTGTTGGTAGTCAGTGCCGAAGCAAGAAGTCTGACTCTCTCTCGGCTGCACACCAACCCCAGATTGAGGTTGAGTTGGGAGATAGACCTGCACTCGGCCACGGCTTCCATCATCCGACGGTAGTGCCTGTCGGCCATCCGGCAGCTCCTAAGCGACAGGAGCTTGATGGAGTTCTGCTGGAGAGACTCGCAGATGTCCCGGGCGTCTGCTGACGAGATGTTCTCGCCCGACAGTTGGACCGTCCCGAGGAGCATCTCGGAGATTGGTAACACAAGGTCTCTTCGTGAGTCGAGGAGCCACTCCGTGTGATCTCAGATAGCCCAAACCTTTTGGTGTTAGAGCGCAGTCAGTCTAAAATGAGCAAATATCTGCACTTTTTATGATCGAGACCAAATTTGACGTGCAACAGTGGGTCGATTAAAAGTGCAAAGTGACAATTCAGCAGTGAAATGAAGAATTGCTCCTGTTTTATCCCATCAGGGTGTTGATACGAGCTAACAAGTAACGTCATTGACACCAGGTGTACATTCAGCAATGCTAAGTGTCAAAATGATGAGCCATCGGAATCCCTTGAATGCTGACAGATTTGGATGTTCCGAAACACGCACGATGGGAATCGGTCTGAACAGAACACCATGCAAGCAGCAAATTAAACCATCCCAAAGAAGCTGATCGTTCTGATGTATGTGTACATCCTCAGTGTTCGTCCGCAGTGTGTTCCAGCGAACGCTCGTGCCATCAGTTTATACTAGGCCTACTCCTATCTTGCTTGTCGGTACACAACATCAATTCGCCCACGGGTTTTCACCAGTATCGTTATGCAGTATTTCCAGCCGAATGAACACATTGTTGTCATCACTGCACAGTCCCTAAGTCCAACGAGCCTCATGCTCCGCTAGGTCGATATCCGTGCGTCACCGACACACGAGGTGCCACAGAACAGTCAACAAGCGGGTATTGATTCTGGGGGGTATACAAGCTTCCATATTGTATCTACAGACGCTCAAAGAGCCAGCGTGCTCAATTCATTGATGCAATAATAGTCCATAATGAAATACACAGGAATGGACTGTGCTACACAACCCTATGGCAAGAGAAATCCAGTTTATTAAGTGGTCATGTGATGGAGATACCTCCAACTTTTGATCTTCTCGTGATGGACACAGTATCCCTATAACACCCATTATGCACTGACACAGCAAAGGTCTTTCTTAGCACACTGGCTTATCCTGGAAAGTGGGGGGCGGGGACTGCAGGCATACCACTCCCCAAAAGAAGTGCATTTTTAAACATGTAGAAGCGACTTTTTCGTCTAGTTCGTTTCTTTTCCTTCCAAAAGCCTGGATAAGCCCCAAGATGTTATCCCCAAACCCCATAGTTCTAGGGGTACCCAAATGTAGCCTTACCCCTCAGAAAAGGCCAGGGGTGTCATTATAAAAATTCCAATTTGGGGGCCTCCAAAAACAGGTTTGCCCCCCATAAAATAGTTTTTGATCCGCCTTTGCCTTTTCACCCTCTTGTCAACATGACCGTTCAAAGAAGTAAATTAATTATGAAGAACGTTCCCAGAAATCTTATATTGAAGTTAAAAAAGAAATCACCAATCTAAACCACCGGCAAGAAATACACACAATGTACATTTACAAGTTTTATCGTGAACAGTGCTGCCTGGTGTACTACCCCACTTCCTTGAATTTCGTGAGTCCGTATTGTCTCACGTTTCTTCTACCACCACACCCTAGGACCAGCCGGGGGCTGTAGTAGAACTACCGGGGACAAGCCCCCCCCCCCGAAAGTCCGTGCCCCTGAAATTTAACATTTGAGATGTACGCAGCCAACTTGAAGGTACATACCGCAGTTTAATTTCACTTTCAGTGCCCCTTGAAAATATGTGCACCCCTGGGTACCCCCCTCAAAAATTTTACCTTGTATTGTTAATTTGTTACGGAACTGGTTGGAGGGTGCACGCATACGCGCAGTTTCGTCATGGGCCACTGGAAGCAAAGGAACTGTGACTTGTGGGTGTTCTTTTTTTAAAGATTTCAAATGGGGGTGACTGACTAAATGGGGAGACTGATACAAAATATGATACAAATCAATGGCCTTGCAAAGAGGGGTTGGATGAAACATAATGCATCGACACATCCCTGCATAGAAACATCCCTCTTTCGACAAAAAGTAACACTTGACGCAACTCCATCCAATATAAACACTGCAATTAAAAAGGGGGAGTCCCGCCACTTTCTGCAGTTAAGAGGCATGGATATTTGCAATCTCTTCCGAGAGCGAATACAAAACAATGATTTTAATTTTAACCTCCTTACGACAAAGTAATGTTTAATTCTACATGTACACTAATGAGCTGAAAATATTTCTCCATTTACGGCAGCTAGTCTACCTTGTCACTGTAGACAGATTTCCCCCTTTCAAGGTTAGACCAGGGACAGAATGTTTTTTTCTTTTTGATGTCAGGAACCAACAGGTCCGAATCATGTGTTCTTATTCCTCCATAGTTCAATCGAACTTTCGGGGTTCCATAACCCTGAAAAGGTTTGCATCGTACATTGCTCAATACCCGCCTCACAAACCTATTTCCACTGAAGTTCAGCGTCGGAGATCATTGGCATGATTTGCTGAGATGTTAAGTAAAGTTAATGAATAACCGTAACGTGACGAGATACTGTTCACGGTACATAAATTATTGCATCTACGAGTAGATCTATATTGGAAATATATAATCGCAACCAGCCGTCGAGACATACATTCAATGGGGGTAATCCAACGACTTTGGCGGAAAATTTCCCTCCTAAGATAATCACCCTACAGCATTATAAAAGTGTCCAGGCTATCTGAAACGAATCACTATTTTCAAAAGTGATATTAAATAACACATATAACCCAGTGGCGTAGCTAGGATTTACTGGGGAGCACAAAGAGGGCACCAGCATCTTATGGGGGCACCAGCTTTCAGTGGTGTGGTTTTTAGGACAAGTTTTGCTAGCCTTGTTCAATATCCATTCGTCCTTTTTTCTTTGGGGGGCACCTGGGGGCACTGGGAATTTGAGGGGGGGGGGCACGTCCCCCCAGCCCCACCTCCCGTATACGCCGCTGATACGACCCCGTTTCTTCAAATTTGGCAGTAACACAAGTTCGTGGTCCTGTTCATAGCTTCCACCCCTGAACTGTCCAGTTCACATCGCCCATAAGAGCAATTATTTATAAATCTGTTATACGACCACCGTATAAAACTGCCCCGGTATGTGTAAAACAGTAATAATTTGTCAACGAGACTAGAAAAAGATAAGATTTTTCAGTACTACTGAAATATTCATGTGTTTGTACGTGTTTTGCATAGGCCTATTCTTTAATGCTGATAAGCTTAATCGAGAGTCACGGTTTGCACGCCGCGGGCCCCAGCATTGCAGACAAAAATAAGGCGGTCCACAGGTAGACGTTAAAAGAAATTTTCATTGAGAGCCTATGCTTGAATTCTCGTAGTAAAATCTTGATTTGTTGATTGTTCGTTGCCCGATAGCCACAGTAATAGCTAAATTAAATAACAGACTGTTAGTATTTCTTCAACTGAATGATCGGATACTTTCAAGTGGCCCGACTATCGAGCTAGAAAAGTTTAGCCCCAAGAGCCGTACTCCAAGGTATGGTTTTGCCCCAAATTCACCCTTTCGACGTGGCGCCCTCTATCAATTGGTGCCAGGCGCCCTCTATCGATTGGTTGCACAAGCTTGTGGCACTCACACACGTCACAGAGGCCGTACGTACATATGTACACGGCGCCCCGGCCCGAATATACGTACACACGTGCGTGAGTTGAATATGGCAGAACTACCCAAGGTTTCGAAACGAAAAAGGGTTGCTAAAAATCGAAAGAAAGCATGGAGAAAGTACTCCAATATTCAAGACGTTGAAGACTTCCTGGAAGAGCAGAGGCAACAGTTGCGTACCGGGTAAGTTACCACCAGACGACCGCGACATCATAGTTGCAAAACGCCAATTTGACGTCACGTACGAATTTGTACTGTGCATGTATACGAAGTCACGTCTGAATATACACACATCATACAGTCAGGTGGGCAAAACAACATGCTTTTAATTAAATCTTGAATGTCTTGCTACAAAGTATTGAAGGGAGGCTATGGATACAAGTTTAAGAAGTCTCCCTCTCACCCTTCATGCCCTTCCAACACTAACACTAGTATTTTGGAGCCAAACAATATATGCCTGTTGCAAAATATTTAAAGCATGTTCATCCATGTTCGCATGTTTATTTAACATTTTTAGCATGTTTCCTACACTTTTGCATGAACAGGAAAATCTTTCAAGTGTTGAAAGAGGTTTTGCCTCTCAATTTAATGACCCAGCTAATGAATGATGGAAAGAACGCAGTTTATCATGGTTTATATTTCTTTTTGTTGTCATCTGTCAGCCAGACATTTTGCTTAATTTTTTTTGTGCAGTGGTTTGGCATCCGAAAAGAAAGATCAAGACCTGTTCTTTGAAGACAAGAAAGCTCCAAAAGCCGTCAAAAAAAACACAGGTTTGGGTGAGACCATGATTGCAACTTTCCTTGTGTAAAGCATGCAACAAATTACTTTGGATACTCAACGTCCCCTGTCGTAAATTTTTTTGTCAAATTCACATTGAAATTAGCTATCGAGCTGGAGACTGGCTTAAAAGAACAAGGAAACGAATTTTCGTTAGAGTCACTTTTTTGTGTATTTCTGTATTCTCCTTCCATGTAATAAGACTGTTTGACATTTTGTCTAGTTACGAACGATGCACTTTTTTTCAAACATTTAATATTGACCAAGCATTTCTGGACAAGTGAGGGCACTTTTGCTTTGATGTAAATCCAGAAAGACATGGTTCAGGTTGCATGTTTTCATGTTGAAATTGTGAATCCCAAATTTGCTATCTGGGAACATAGCAGTGGTTTAAAAAATCTAGAAATTTTCTGTGCACAAATCAGTGTAACATTGAGATTCAGTGCCTTGGACGACATCATAGTTCTGCTTATGAATATGCAAATATCATTAACATAAAAACCAAAAGAGCATGAAAATATGGGTTAAAATTGCAAAATGAAAATTTAAAAATCAGGTTAATAGAAACCCAAAGATGCAATTTCAAGGGTTTTTAGTAAAATTTATAAAAAAATGTTCTTTTCCTGGTTCCTTTAAGTGGCCAACCCCTCATTAACATTATTAGACAGGGACAAATGGACCCAACTTGCCATGTTATCATGAAAGTAAATCAATGAAGAAGGAAGCAGGAAGTCTTTTCATACTTGTATTGTTGTGTTGAATTGAATATTTGGTTCCCAATCACCCAAAATCACAATATATTGTTTCCTTCGTGCCGTCTCATGTTAACTTAATCTGAAAATATTGGAAAGTTGCTTTTAAAAATTGAATTGAGACCTCAAACTTGGCTGTTGAAATAAAGAGGAACATATCTTTGCCTCTTGAAAATTTGTAGAATTTTGTCAGCTATGGACATTGAGTGAGTGAAGTTGACCTAATTTATTTTGTATTTTATCTGCAACCAGAATATTTATACTCCGTGGTAAATTTTCCTTATTCTAAAACCACTGTTGGATTTGATTCCATAATAAGTCCCTTCATAAGTCTGCGAACAAGGTAAACAGACAGCTTTTCCCAGTTCAACCGATTAGCTTGTGACTGGAGTTGTAACCGGATGATTGGTGATGGCCTTGTAGTGAACTTGCAGAGACTCAACTATTGCTCGGTCTGTTTTTGGTTGAGTCAGGGTGATACAGCCCAGTCACCCTTACCTCTATTTTTCTCCTTAAATCTTCCCAAATCTTCCACTGTGTAAAGTTAGACCAATAACACATCCTAATTTAACTTTCAAAGTTGTTGCTAGATTTCAAGGGGGGGGTTGGGTCACATGTAGAATCATAATGGCTTGCAGGCTGGGCTCTACAAGTTCATTCATCAATCCTGCAAAGTTCTCAAAATCTCCTGTTGGCCGTTGAAGGATCTACCAGAAAGTAGGGTTAGAGTTGTACATGTAGGTCGTAGAATGTGCGTTAGTTCGGTTCCCTGCGCAGTGGTGGTGCTACATGTACATTTATCAGTAAGAATGTGCACCTCTTTGAGGTCATTCATTTTTCATTCACTGGCCCTGACCCTCCTGGATTCTTCAAAACCTCAGACCTGTCTGTAGGGTTTTGAAGATTTTGAAGGACTGAGAAGGGAATAGGCCTGCATTGTTGATACCCTATGCAAGTTAAAATGCTGAGAACATGCAGTGTGTTACCTGCACAGTGGAAGAATCGTGAGGATTCTTGGAGGTTTCTAACCTCGTTAATAGGGTTAGAGGTGGTTTGTCTTACATCTGTGTTTTCTTCGCCTGTCAGTCAAGAAGAGAGGTCCTATTCAGCACAAGGTAGACTGGCGTCTTCTCCCAAATCCCAGGGTCCCGCCTGCTCCAAAGTAAGGCTTACCATTTTTTACGCGGGTGCATCATTCGCATTTGTGAGAAGGTTGAAATAGGACTGGGTTGGTGAAAACTGACCCAAACTTTCGGTACTGTGCCTGACTTTTCACTGATGCAATGATTAACCCTGGCAGTTTTCAATCCTCAGATTTCAATATATGAATTTACCTACACCCTAAGGGGTTTGGGTTAAGTACTGTACGCTTGATGTTTTCCAAAAGCTTGTAAGTGACAAACAGAAAACATGTGCTTACTTGGCTAGGACTCGCGGCATGCCCATGACTTTCTGCTTTCTACTGCAGACATTTCTTTGTCAGTGTTGGCGGGCTACCTTAACATGTAAAGGGGACTTCATTGTTTGAAGGCAAACCCCAGTGTTAAACTTGATATTACCCAGTGCAATTTTACATCATTATCTGGTCAGGCATCTGTTTAAAATTAGTAGAAAAGTAATTTCCATAGGATTTTGGCAGATTTGTGGAGGTCCAAACAGGCCAACAATCCAGCATTACGATTTTTGTACCCCCCCCCGACTTTTTGAACAGAGCATTTCCCCGTAAAGCTAAAAGGCCGGGCAAGCGTGTCTTAGAAGTCCGAGCCAAAGAGAGCCAGGGACTCGTCAGTGCCAACAAGCGAAGGAGACTCAAGGAATCAGAGGAGCAGCGCTCATTGTACCAGGAGACGCGGCAAAGAGAGAAGACGAGACAAGAGATTGGCCGAGCGACGTATGACGTCTGGGGTGAGTTCAGGGACAATTGGCACATGGTATCTGCATCCACTGGGATGTTTTTCAATTTTTTGGATTTGGCCAGCCTCCTCTCATGCTGTAGGCAGGGGTACATGAATCCTTGAACATCCAACTGACAACCTTGTCCCATTGGTATGATGACAGAGAATATTTCTGAGAGGTCATTGGTCGGTTTATGTTATGATGACCATTCTCTCCTGCAGTGTGATTGGGTGGACTGTCACCAGTGCAGGAAGCAGAACCTGTGTGTACTCCATTTCACTTGGAAATCATCTTGACCTAGGACTGTGACTAGCTGTCAGAGAAGCGAATGTCAGTGATTTTGATGGCCACTCTGCTTATGAATGGCCAGGAGGGGTCATGTTGCATTGGTATGGTCGATGTGCCGTTGCCTGTAATTGAGGTTTTGCCATCATTTTTGTCCATTGCCTTCGCAGGTGACAATGCAGCCAAAGTGATCAAGAAGGGAGGTATAGAGGCAGACGAGCACTTCCTCAGAGTGACGAAGAATAAACGAACGAAGGTGACTTGTTGAACATCAGAAGAAAAAAAGAAGATGGCTTTGTAGGAAATAGATAGGCCATAGCAGTACTACAGTACATTGCAATTGATAGTTAACCTGGGAATGGGGAATGCTATTCACCCTTGCTCCCTTGCCAGGGAATTCATTTTCATTTCACAAAATGTGAAAACAATTTCTGACAGTGGTTAAACATCATCACACCTTTTTTGCACAAGTAGGAAAACATTTTCATGCCATTTTTACTCAGATAAACAACGCGTTGCTCAGAAGTGCAAAGATGATTTCCCCTCCATTGGAAAATACAGAATGAGAGGGTCTCTTTCAACGCGTCTTTTTTTTACGGAAGCAAAATGATTGAATTCCATTGAATGTCACTGGTCTCACTATTGCATCGGATTTAAACCAACCAATCGACCCAGACAAGCTTGGGGGTAGAGTGGTTAAGACGTCTGCACTAGCATGCACATGGTTGTGAGCTCAAGTCCCACCGAATAAGCTTGTCAGGACTTTTGCTGAACATTTAACCATCTCCATTGTTTCTTCCAATTCACAGCTACCGCCCAGGTACCAAGACAAGCCCAGCAAACTCCCCGCGGTGGAGATCGTGGCCCCTGGTGCCTCCTACAACCCATCGCTGGAAGACCATCAGGTAGGCGTTGAAGATGGAACATTCTTACCGACAGCCACTCTGGAGAATGGGAACATCTTAGCAATTGGAAGTCCCAACAATTTGGACATTCCGTGGGAGAGTATGATTTCCAGCACTCATAGATGCGAATGCCTAGAATTTTTCGGGTTGAAAGCAGACTACAAACACTTTTCTGGCCAGGATTGGGCTGTTCCAAATGGATCATTTCAGTAGGAGTGAGTTTCAAATGCTCTCCATGTGTTTCGCATACATTTCCCATGTTTTTTTAAATCGTTTTTTAAATCACAGTGTGAACTCAGCAGATGGCTATTCAATTATTACACACGTTTACTTTGACAGGCTCTCATCAATGCTACCTATGAAGAGGAACTGAAGAAACAGAAGGATGAAGATAGGTTAGAGCGATGGCACAAGATTCCAAAACTCACTGCTCAACAAGTGCAGGTCAGTCGTGTCAGTATTACTGTTTTCTTGGAGCAGGCAGAACAGGTTCAAACGAGATTAAATGGACATCAGTCTGAGAATTTCTGAGCATGTGCATTCTGTTAACACTCTGTTGCATGGGAAATGCATAGAAATGATTCAAGATCTACCGCTATTTGGGTTTATAGTGGAGTAACTGGAGTTTATTCATTCTTCCAAGCATTTACCTACTCATTCCATCAACTCTTCTTATCCAAACTTGTGGTTTTATTTCTACTCTATTTTCTCGGCACCTGATAATGGTTTCAGGTTTCTGAACAAGTTGTAAGTGGGTTTTATAATTGCCCAGTTTTTGATAACCACAAATGCTGATCATCTTTTACTGCATCAGATATTTCTAGGTTGGTTTTCTGAGCATTCTTCCCATGTTTTGGAAGTTAGAAAGTGCTGCATACAAATTGGAAAAAGAGGCCAGGTTGTGTTCCCACTGTGATGATAATATATTCTCATATATCCAGAAATGTACAGTTTGATTTCCAGCCAACAGTTGCATTCAGATGAAGGATCTTTCTGGAAAGTAAAATAAATGTAATGCTTGGATCAAAACATGCACTTTTCACAGAAATGTCATTTTCTGTTCATAAAATAGCAATACATTGATCAAATTTCAGGAAACTTTCATCAGTGAGATGTCAGCTGGTCTCTTTCCTGAGGAGGCAGATTGTGGGACGGGGCCTGTGACAGCCGGAGGGGAGGGAGACGATGTCCTCCCAAACCCACCAACAACATATGAGAACCGCAAGACGAAGAAACGGAAGAGAAAGGAGAAAGAACTCAAGGAGAAGGTCAGGAAAGTTCCTGAACTAGGTTGGGAACAGTCCCTTATGATGGCTACATTTAGCAGGAAAAACAACTGCTTTTCTGTAGGATTTTAATACCAAAGTGTGCCTTGACCCGTTTAAAACAGTAGCCAGTCTGATATAAGACGATTTGACATGGTCACCGCACATTCAAGTGGAGTCCTTTTCAGAAAGGAGATAAGTTTAGATAAGTGTTGTTTGAAGCTTTGCATAGTGGAGTTGTGCACAGAGAAGAATGTTTGTGGGTAGGTCATAGGAACAATGTTTTTGGGAAGAAATATTGACATTTATGACAATATTGTATTTTGACTTTTGTGGGTTATTTGTTTGTATCACATAGCAGATACAGTCTTAGAGTAGCCAAGATGAAAATGGGCAGTTACATCTCCCGTAAAAGGAATTTTACGTGATTTATAGAAAAAAACATTTCCGTGAAGGTAAAATGGTGCCAAAGGATAACTTGCTTTCGTCTGAGGCCGCGTCTCACTGCGCTTTGCTGCCCCCATAGGAAAAACAAGTCAAGGCGGAAAAATTACAGAGGATACGACAGAATGAGGTATATCGGCTGCGCAGCATTAAGAAGGAGATTGCCGAGGAGGCAGCCAAGTCTGAGGCTGAGAGGGCAAAACGTGAGCAGAGGAAGAAAGAGATGGAGAATGTACCAAAGGCATTTGGCCATCACAAGTATCCTTTTGTTGTGAATTCTGCAGGTGCTGGACACCACGTTACTGTACAAGGCACTTATGATGATGAATGTGTATGTCTCATGTACACGCGCGTGTATGTGACTTGCATGGAACTTTCCATATATGAGAACGGAGTCTTCAGAGTTACTGCGCCGTTTGTTCCTTGTTTTTTGCCCCTTCCCCAAACTTACACCCATGCTCTGACGTGTCATTTAATCATCGTTTCTATGTTCACCTGGTGAGAATGTAAATGGAATGTAGGAGTTGTCCTTATCGTTGCCGCTTCAGATTGGAGGAAGAGCCTATGGTGATTAAGCTGAGTGACGAACTCGTGGGCAGTCTACGGGAACTCAAGGTACGCGCGGCTAAAATGTATCAGCGGTTGGGTCACTGTTTGGTGTTGCTCATGGCTGTGGAATGTCTTTCATGGAGACAACACATTCTTTTCTGAGATTGCATAATTCTTTCATAAGAATGTGGGCGATTCACAATAGTGCGCCACCAGGAGTTTGCAACGCGTTGGCCAATCACAACGCGCGAAATCTGTTGACCCTTTCCAAACGCGCATTTGGTCGACAGATTTCGCGCATTGTGATTGGCCAACACGTTGCAAACTCTTGGTGGTGCACTTTTGTGAAACAGCCATACTGTAGACAGTTTGGAGAGGAGTGATGATATTTTTCTCTATAAGTAAAATGTTATTTTTGAAAGACGTCATTTGTGGACAAAAATGAGCAATTTTATGAAACATGGCGTTGGATTTCATTTTGGTTTGTCATTGAGTGAACTGGACAATTGTCGTAGTGTCTTTTTTAATCTGTTAATGATCTTTCAAGATTGATAATGACAAGACATTCAGCCACATGTACATGTAAATTTCAGTGCAAGCTAATTGTATTTCATATCTAAATATTACACTTTGTAGTCTCTAATAATTATGTGTACATTTTATTCCTCTGAAGCCGGAGGGCCATCTACTCAGGGACAGATACAAGAGCTTCCAGAAGAGAAATATCATCGAAACCAGAACGTGGAAGAGGTGAGTATGAGCTCCCCAATCTGTGTACGTTGATAGGACACTGCAGTTATGGCTGTAGCATTGCGGCAGCGCTTGCCTCAGTGTAATTGGGTTACAGGTGCACATGCTTGGATTTATGTGGATGTAATCTCATTCTGTAGTCAGTAGGATGTATTGGCTGAGAAGGAAATGGGAGAAGAGCTTTAACCTTCTGTTTGGCCTGAAGTGTTTCCACAGCCTCTCTGTCCACTACTTTCTCCTGCTGAATGGTCAATGATGAACTTCTTTGGGGCACTCATGTTCCTTTAGGAGCATGATTGTTGTTGGCACTCTGGTATTGTAAAGCCATTTACAATGCAGATAGGTATTACCAGCGGCATAAAATCCCAAATGGTCCAAGTCTCTGAGACATTCCCTTGGCCAACAGCATGTACAGGACGCCCAGAAATTAAGAACACACCAGTCTGTCTCTTCTCTTCCTCATGTTAAACAACATTCCAGGCTTTAGTTCAAGCACTATTCCCATGCCACATTCAGTGGGTTGATTGTTGGGTATGAAAAAGTGTCTTCCCTGCCAACAGTCGATTTAAACAAACATTCATTTCTGTTTGCTTTGCTGGCATGCCCGAGAACAAGTGTCTACAGCCAAATGTTAAGGGAATTTCTCCTCCTTGCATGGTATTCATGACTTAGCTGTTCCCTTTTTTTCTCCCAATAGGGGTCAGAAAGCACAGTATAAAGAGTATGAGAAGAAATCGCACAAGGAGATCACGTAAGTCAAGACACTTTGGCGGTTTGTGTCAGTATGACAGCTTACAAGCAATAACGGAAGAACCTAGATTGATTCTGTAAAATGATGCTACCTATGGATGGATTTATTGGTCAAAATGGATTTAGTGATAAGAAACGTGAATCAATATTTAAATTCCACCCGCAGAATGCGGCAAACAACAGCCAATAAAAGAAAATTAAACAAAATAAGATGCAAAACTACATGAACTTCAAAAACTAAAACAGTTCTTTCAAGTTAGTAGAACACTATCATTTCATTTTCTTTTAACCCTGTCATTTGCTGGTGTTTGTGCAAAAATGAAGTATCATTTCAATCACATGCGATGTTTCAGTGTGTCAAGTTTATCTCTCTTCTCTGCATGTCTTTGCAGAGCTTAATCACCAGGAAGTGGGTCAGTGAGGTGGTCATCAAGAATGCTCTGACCTGTTAAAGTCAGTGGAATGACATAAAGACAGAGAGTTCTGAAGTCAGGGTACCATACCCCACCAAATTATCCACTGCCCGCTGAACATCAGAGGGAACGTTAGTTGAACGTTGAGAGGATGGAAGTTGAACATCACCTGGAATTCTAGTTCAGTGTAGAGAAAACTAACGTTCAACCTCTGCAAGAACTAAAGTTCGACTCAAAGAGGGAACCCAAGTTAAAAACATTTTTAGGAAGCGAAGTTCGATACAGGAAGACTTGAAGTTCAAATCGAGCGGGGAACCAGAATTTACCATTTAGGGAACCCAAGTCGAAATCAGTTTGGAACCCAACTTCAGTATTGAGGAATTGCTCCTCAACAGTGGTAATGGATGCTCAACATCTTTATCAGGAACGAAAATCCATCAACTGCAGTAACTTGAGTTCAGTCTCATTTGGACCTCACACAGAGGGAACGTGCTCATTGGTAGGAGCACACATGAAACATCAGAAAGAACTCAACTTGTTCTTTCTTCCCACCTTGAATATCAGGACCACTCTTTCAGAGGCTGACAGTCATCTGCAGAGTCCTGGCCTTTCAACATGTTGAAACCGATCTGGAAATTCCCACAGCCTCAGTTTTCATAGAGCAGCCGAGCCAAAATATTTTTTAGTAAATGTGCAAGGCTAGCAGCAGTCTTCTGGGAACCAGTCACAAGAAGTGCACAGTGCTGAACATGTTGGATGGCAACCTGCTTTCACTGAGGTTTTCGGTGCCTATCAAATTCTGTGCTGAGCAGGCACATCCAATGAACCCTCCATCGTGACACATTCTGCTGTTAGTGACTGTGCTTATCAGCTTATAGTTATGCTTTTATGTACACTGACCCCACAAGATGGCACTTCAAAAACTGTTGTACATATTTTCCATTTTATTTTTCATCACGTAGGCCTGTGATCGGTGTATTGCAGTCTACCAGACAAAATATAATGCTACGTGGGACAGTGAACAATCCGAAAATAACACTTTGGGATGTTTCTCGTTTAGTGTTTCCAAGATTTGTTGACGCTAACATGAGAAGTTGTGTTTTAAGGCATTTCACAATAGATCTTACATGTACATCTCAGTATGTCACAATTCCAATTCTGCATGTTTAGCTACTAGCCTATGGACGATAGGCGATACTAGTGCTAATGGTTCAATTGGGCTGAGTGCACACCAGTGTTTTAAGGGAGTCATTGAAATCTTGACCCAGGCCATTTTCAGGTGACTTGAATCCAGTTATTAGGCCAAGATGGTTAAAGTGCTCACAAATCAGTAAACTGTAGCGTAACAGTTGCAACAATAGTACACTTCAGGAACTTCAGCGTTATAAACTGTTTACCTGCGTCAAGTCTTCTCATGAGGGAAATTGTACTCGAGACCCAGACTTTAGAAATTGCGACAAGTTGAACTCCACGTTTCAATTCCGTACACACAAGCTATAGCTAGTCACAGTAACACTGGAACAACACAAAAGAACTAGAGAGTCAGTCTCGCGTTTTCAATATCACTTTTTTAATATTAATTTTTCCTCTTTTTGAAATAGTTTTTCGGGAAAATACAACACAGTTGATGTTATTTCAAAAGTACAAAGCCCAGAAACTAATGGAAAAGAATAATAAATAAAGACTTCTTTTTAAAAAAAAATCACGTAATTAATCCATTAATTATTGTGGCAGTTTGTGTTAAGAACCCTGATTCAACCAAAATGTAATGATAATAAAGAATGTTCCAACTGAAAACATTATCCAAGACAAAGCAACGATGTGGTATGTGGGGAGTGTATAATTTTACCAAAATACTTGTTCGGGGGCATTCTTATGGCTGTAATGGTATGATTTAGGCTAACCCATTTCCAGTGGCATAATTATATCGTGACAATGGACCAAGCCGAGGATAGATAGGAACTCTCTCTGCAGACCCTTGCCGACTCACACAAGTAAACTTTCTTGTGCTCGTTTGATGTGTCCACGACTTTAAATCTGGGGGCCTGTCAACATTTTCAGAATAAACTCTGAAATTCTTTTCAATTTTTTTTCCAAACACTGGCTACTTTTTACATTGCTGACGGCATTGCATCTGTTTGATTAATACAGTTATGCCTGCCGTAAGGTGCTTAGACTAACTCATGGTCCTTCAGTAAACTGACAAGTTGAAGGACGAATTCAACTCGAACCAGTGTCGAGCATTGCATAATTGCTTGCTGTGACTTGAGTCCGGAAAGAACTCACAGATCTCGTCTGCAGTGAGCAGGCAGTAATACAGATGTTATTTCAAGAAAAAAAAAGGAAAAATACACAAAATTGTCTGGAATCAAATGCAGAATAGCATACAATCTGTCTAAAACAATCACCAAGAAGCCTGACTATTGTACACAGCCTCTTCCAAACAATATTTGTTTCAAGTTCAAGAGTGACTTAGCTAATGTATACAGATACTCTTGTCTGTTCCATGCACATGTGGCTTGGGTGCAAGTTCCTGTGAATGAGCGATGCCAACTGGAGTGGCAAATTGAGAAAGAAAGTGAATCGATTCGAAATACAGCAAATGCATTTTCTACAAAGGGACCAAATGTGCTCCATTCGAATGACTTGGAAACTAACAGGATTAACTTCCGTTCCAACTGATGTAACGTTACACCAGTCATCAATTCAAACCTGGTTGCAAAAAACTCTGTACAGTAAACTCGGATTGGAGTCCATCTCAACTTGTCCCTAAAAGTCTCAAATCCCTCGTACTCTCTGTCCATCTCTCCAACATGCTACCCTCATACTTCTAGCCAAATACATGTTTCACCCATTTGGAATATCTCCATGCATATCTACCAAACGAGTCTGAAAACAGCCTGACTACACTCTGTTTTTGTTTACAGCTACAACAGCTCTGAGACAATTCACAAGACTCCACCAGGGGGGAGAGAGGCACTCTGGATTTACAACATTTCATCAACTCATTTCTTGACTGGGTTATCTGAGCAAACTAAGGTAGCCTCTAGCACTGGCACTACTCCAGTGGCGAACACTTGTATTCTGTGCTCATGCATAGATGAACAGCACTGTCCAGATAGACGAAAGTCTTGAGACATGTACATTTGAGCAACATGCATTTTTTTGTATCTTGAATGCAACTTTGTCACAGTGAGCAGGCTTTGCAATCATTAGAGAACACCAAATTTGAAGAAATGATGCAACCTTGAAAAAGTACGAATTATATGTTCATCAAACACGTAAATCTCTACCTTTTTTCACAGTAGTGGATAATATACAAATGTAATTACTGGCATTAAATTTTACCCAAAGGTCCATACATTTAACGGTACAGAAATGAATGACTTCTAAGCATCAAATGAAGATTTCGGTTTGCTATCTCCAGTTTCATATTCTGAGTTGTACTGTAGTACGATAGGAAAATATATTCAATGGATAAGTGGCTACAAAAACTGCTATTTCAAACCTATTTTATGAGGGGAAGATAATTACATGTGGATGTAATGATTCTAACGAGGTTTTTCTTCAGTGGTACATATACAGGGTTAGTTTTCAAGATGTCAAGTTATCTGGAAAATGTTTCAAAACATTCTTCTCTGCCTGAAACAGATATAAGGCATTAACAACATGAAAACCAACAAAATAAAGGTTATGTTAAAGATGAACCACCTTACTACGTAATATCTGCCACAAATAATATTCTTTTAAAAACAGTCCTGCCCTTTTGAAGCTCTAATGGGACAATTCCACAGTAGAACAAGCCTGTTATCTTCTTAACTAGATCCTAAGTCTAGATGCCAGACCATGAGAACGCTTTACCCTCTTCTTTGGCATGCTAAGTCTACAGCCCAAAGTGAGGCCTTAAAATAACAAAATGGTCTGGTGCCACAGCAAGCTTTGTTAGTCAGTGCCCTCTAAGCCAAGCCAGACAAACATGGTGCCCTTTTCAATGTATAATGTACACCTCAATGCCCAGCAGTGCACTATGTTCATGGACCCTGGCACCGATTTATCCCAAAGCAATGAAATACTGTGGAATTGCCTCTCAGAAATTAGTTACTGAAGAGTTAACTAGTAATTCTTGCATTACCAAATACAATTTGCAAAAAACATTGATTCTTTCGGTAAGTAACATCATCTTGTTACATAACGCTTTACAAGAGTTACCATACTACTGCTAGGCATTGTCATTTTTTTCTATTTTACAAGTTAACTTTTTTTTAGAATTTTCTTAGCAAAGCAAAACAAAAAATGTTTCGGCAATCCTGTGATCATACAGGCTAGCAACATAAGGTGTTCCATACCACCTTACTGGAAGACCAGAAAATAATTAGCATATTCAAAACACTGTCCTGTGTCTCTACTTGCAGGTTATTACACAAAGATCAATTATGCAAAGAAAACTGTTTTAAAATAATAAGAACTGCTAGGTCAAAAATTTGGCTTCGCTTTTAAAGTTTGTGTTCCAATACTTTCAATCGACACACACGGTACAAAGAAATTCAATCCTTTTAATTTGATACGATTAATGCACTTTGCACATGCCGTTCAATATGCACACCTACATATGCAAAACATGCATTAATTATGCATAATTTACAGTCACAATCAGGCCAATTGGAACCACATCATATACCACTACATTATGCATACGTTTAAACTTTCTGTTATTTCACCTATATGAGAAACCACAGGTGGTTTTTTTTGCGTTTGTTTTCCAGCGACCCTCCCAAAGCTAACTTCATTCATCTATCCTTTTTTTTTTATCTACAACCATTCTTTATATATTTAGATACAAAAAACACCGACCTGTTTAAAATCCTTGGAAATAGCAGAGGAAACACACACATTGTGTGACCTCCGGTCACGTCTTCTTACAAACCATTTCAAATACACTAAACCATTCCGGCAAATATACAGTATTGTAACAAACCTAAATGTAGACAAATACATATTAATGAATAGTGTATTACCACGGTAGCTAAAAACAGGATGATAAACCTAAAGAAATAAAGAACGCAAACCCATATATAAATGAAAAGCTAATTTAAATAATTTACAAAGACAAGGAAAAAAAGTTTGCTGCACTTAACAAATACACATCCAATTTACTAAAAGTTACTTCGGGATAAACCTGGCTGGTAACCAACAATGTTTGTTGCATGCATGGTACCAGTGATCTAGGAAAATAATCCCTTCTAAAGTATAGCAAATAATGTCTGTGAATTGCCACTTCTATTAGGAATTCATTTTGAGTAATGGATTTAAGTAGTTAAGTAGTTTTTTAATATTAAATAGAGTAAGCCTGTTATATACAATTGTTCCAAACAGATGTTTCTGTTTTTTTTTCAACAGAATCTGCAAGGGTATATCTGAAATGCTCCAAATGGAATTTTCTCCCCAAATCATGAAATTTTTCACACTGAAACCAATTTTATGTACAGGTACATTTGCCTACACATATGCCCCCCATGTCTTTGCATTTGACTCATGTTTATCTAACTAAATGACTGTTAAGACCTAAATTTGTCACAGAAATCTGCTGAACTGATTAAGCGAAGGGTGGACTTTGATTTCACCAGTCTCAATGCACTTGCCAAGTCACAACTATGCAATAGTCTATTTGATAGTTACTGCTCACTTCCTTGGGTTTCTCGAGTTCAACCAGAGACAATATCAAGCTCATGTTCCATAGTGTACACCCCGCCACAAAATTCAGATTTCTGGCACCATGAGGACAATGGAGAGAAATGTGGATTTCTTGGCAGAGAAGTTTGATACCTGGGCGCAGCATTTCTACCACTGCATGCCCACTTTCATTGTTGTATGCCTGTATTGGTACCCTGAAAAATGTCTGGAGAACCAAAGCCGATAAAAGGCAGGGCATACAATATCCGACTTGTATGCAGACTTGACAAAGACAGAACACTTAACACTGGTGAAATTGACTTCTTTTTTTGCTAAATGAGCATTTCTTGCACTGTGGTTGGAGACATGGCTTCGTAAAACAGCAAAAATCTTTTGTACAGCCCTAGTCAGTACCTACATGTAGACTACCATTACCAGTAATTTAAACTTCTTAAATTTACACCAAGGCAATAGAGTAACTTGTCCAAATGAGGGCTGTTTTCATTCACCGTAGTACACTTGGCTTTAACTTTTAGTTTCCTTTGAATCAAACACATCGACCGGTAGACCACACATCGAGAGGACATAATGTGCCTTGTCAATGCAATGGCATGCATGGTACCCACAGCTCCATTGTTAAAAAATTCAGTGCAAAACCAACATGCTTCAAGGGGCGATGGTGCGCAGGGGACCTAACTAAATTGGGTGAAAAAAATGAACAGGTGCCTTCTATCTTAAGCACAATTTTAGAAAACTGTCTTCCTTGTTTTGTTTCAGGGCTCACGTGGTTTACATCCAAGTGAGCTGCAACATGGGATAGTAAGCTAGTTTAGACACTCACGAACAACATTTTTATTTGGCTAAACAGCTGTACCACAGAGACAAATCTTGCTATCATGAAACAACATTGGAGAAATTAGTACTGTTTTCACCAGTGAACACCTTCACAAAGCATTCCATGTCGTTGTATCAAACCTCTCTTATTTTAAAAATATTACTCTATGCTTTCCACAGTACTCAGCTTATTTTGGCAAATGCTGATTCTAAATGACACACAGGACTGAGGAAATAAAAGAAAGAAAAAATACAAAAATAAAATGAATTTTGTGCCTAAACGAATGGAAAAATCTGCTAGTCAACTCAGACAGCTAGTTGATTTGATACCAAAATGCTGGGCAGTGCTTTGCTTGGCAAATTCACATTTTGGACACAAAAGGGTTTTTAAAATCTGAATCAGAATCATGTCAGAAGTTTCCTGAAAGAGCATTCAAGCTAACAATAAAAATTCTGGCACCTAAGTTGAATTGGAAGAATTTTCCACTCAACAAAACAGAACAAAATTATGTTCATGTGCATGGTAATATTCTTGATGAGTTTTTAAGGATATGCTACAGACGGCAATTCAACTCTGCCTGGTTAGAATGTCCTTTTACAAGTAAATTGCCACGTGGGGACCAGGTGGGTTCAGTGGTATGAAATTCAATTTTGGACACTTTGGAAACTGCAAATTAACGGGAGAGTTCTGCGCTTACCTTGAATGCTCACTCAAAATGATCAACCTAACTGCTTTCAGCTAAAAAGCTCAGAACCTTGATATGAATCTCAGAACCTTAGAATTTGATTCTTTAATATTGAGCCTGGATATATATTTTTTTTCCACATATCTGATCCTTTTCAAAACACTGCACTTTTTTTTCGATCTTATACAGATTTGCTAATGAAACAATGCATATGCATGTTTTAAGGGCTTTAAATACACCACATCCATCTCAGAGTTACTAAAATTACTGGGAATTTTTGAAATCACCATTTGACAAATGTAACTACCAGCAGAGGTACGAGAAGATAAAACGCAACCCTTAAAAAACAGAAATTTAGCGTCCAATAACAACATCCTATGGTTACAGGTTCTTAGATATTACAAATGTACACTATGTCAAGGTTTGTTTTTATAGCAGAATGCCCCATCAATCTTAAGTACTCCTCTCAACATATCCATGGAGAAAGAGAACACGTGTATTCATCAGCCTGTGGTACAAGAATGTTCAAAAGCATGCTGTGGAGTGATCGGACCAAGGACCATTGGTCAAACTGGGGTTTATCTCTGCCTGCATGGACAGAGTTAGTCAAGCCTGAAGGAGTTCTAGAGCGTTTTCGAAATGAGTGGGTTGGGCTCAGACTTCGGTTTTGCTGGTTCCAGTCAGAGCTTGAACATGTGGTTTTGAACTCCATTCAAAGTGGCTGGAACCAGCGAAACTAAAGTCTAAGCCGAATCCACTCATTTCAAAAACCCTCCTAGTCTCCACCTCAGGTATGTGTCACTGCCAAAATGTCAAGGTCCCGGTGTCCTGCCAGGCTCTGCAACACAAAATGGCTGCTGATAACCCATGATGTAACCAACCTCTGTGGGCTTGGCAAAATTAACTAGACATGGCTAGACCAATCATCCTCAACTGGTCAGCGTAGGCATTCTATTAAAGTCCAACCATGATTAATCCGAGTTCTGGATCAAATTATTCTGGCTGCATAACGTGATCCCCGACGTGTTCCATCTTGCAGCAGAAGTCAACACTTTGTGACTTCTTTCCTCGTTTCAACACAGTGCAGTGGTCAAGTCCGTTGCAAGTCTGGTCACAAGCAAGGCCCGTATCAATTCACTACACTGTAGTCCCGTCACAAGAAACAGGGGGATGAACCTAAAAAAATGCCCTTGGACACCCTTCGCTTAAATACCATGTCTCTCGACTTCAAGGGATGACTTGCAATAGGCCAGTGCTGGACTCGACCATGACACTGTTGCACAATCTTCATGAAAGGGGAGCATGCTGCTTTATATGCAATTGGGCCGTTACCAGAAACCAAGAAGACGAAAGATTGTAACCACCTGTGCCTGTTCATGTGTGGTTGTAAAGGGGCAAAATATTCTCTACACTATTAACTGAATGGGACTGCAGGCAACGTAAAACTGAACACATGCACGTCCCGCGCTCTCTGCAACAACCTAAGGTTGAAGCTACCACCATGAGCTCCTTGTGTGACAAGCACGCTAATCCGTGAGCGGAGCATTTCATGATGCTTTCCTCTGTAAGCTGTCATTGTCGTAATTTAGTTACCAGAGAGCGATGACAACAGTAGTTAGTACGCTGATGTTCCTTTGGCTTCCCCGTCCCAGCCCCCAGACCCACCAGATAGCTGATCGGGCTCCACTACACTCGTCCGGTGCGGTGTGGGAGGAGTACTGGAACTAGAACCTGCAACCAAACAAGATTACACCGCAAACGGATCACACAAATGCTGGCTGCTATTCAGTCTTCCAGATTGTTCACCCGCCTTTAAACTTCAAACTACTGACACATATTTATTGCTTAAGCAGCGCCATGAAATTGGCCTCTCAGAACTAGATGCCTACCAGCCGGAGGAGGTAAGCACGGAATGCCTCTTTGGTAGGCAGGCTGCTAGTAGGTGACTCACTAATTGTTGTGCAACAAGTGGTGTAACGGCCTCTCATCCAAATTACCTATACCGATGATCTATATACATGTACACTGACTGGACAGTGCATTGAGAGTGAGGGCTAGAAGTCACTAGGTGTCATTTTAGGAGGCCTAAGGTTTACACAGGTGAGTGTTGGGACTGAGAGAGAGACTGGAAATCTTAGTCACAGTGGGCTGCCACATTATGACTGTTACAGTTTACTTTGAGACAGATGGAAGTCTTCTTTGGGGGCCCTCAAGGAGGCTTCATTTGTTTGTACATGGCAAAAGGCACACAAGCTATCAAGTTAGTATACAGACATCAGTGGTCTATAAAACTGGAATCTTAAGGCTGATACCCACCTAATGAATGCCTCGGCGAGTGGCTGGACGGGGGTGGTGAATCATCACTGTAGCTACGCTGCCCCCCATCATGGCTCCCGCTGCTCCCATCGCTTGCTGTCAGCCCCGAGCCTGTCGGCAGTAGGCTTCCCCCGCCGTTTAAGTCACCTCGGCCAGCTGAGTGCATGGAAGCAGCTCGCTCCCTAGAGCTCTGTCCCCCGGCCCGTAGGCCAGGCCCTGTGGGCTGGAACATGCTGCGCACCCGCTGAAAGTCACGACCTAGTTGCTTCTCCTCACGCAGTTGGATCTTTCGCTGATGGGATAGCAGAGAAACAACCATATCAATATAAAAACAAGGAAAAGAAGAAAGAAATCTACATTTTAAGTAATTGCCACTCTCTAGGCCCAAGTTTTGGTAAAGCTGCCAAGCTGAACACATTGCCAACAAATTTATGCACTAAGCAAAAATTAGCCGAGTACTAGTTGAGCGGAATAAACAATGCATGGCATTTTGACTGGTAGCCTACAGGTAGGTTTGCTGAGCAAATATTTCAAGTGCTTAGCAGCTTTATGACGTTGGCTCCTGAGCGTTTCTGCACAGCTTCTTGAATTCAACAGCATCCAGCAATGCAAAAGACCAGGCCTCTGTACTGATGATGTCACTTTGTTTACATGTACACCTTTGTGTGGGATCACCGGGAGGGCCTACAGTCTACTGAGTACCACAGGAAAGCATGAACTGTAAACAGAGCGTGGCATCATCAGTATGGAGGTTTGCTGATCATTGTTGGTACATTGCTACAGAGCGCTCTTAACCACTTGCTGCCGGGTGGATTTTTCTTGAGCAAGACAAGATGACGGCTCATTTTCAAGATTTTCCGTTTTCAAAGTTCTTCAAAATTCATCATTTCATTTAATGGCCGTTTATACCAAAATGAAGGACTCTTTGGGCACTATTCTAAAGCTGACAGGTAAAATTCATTGACTCCTGAATATTTTAGCCAGGCCTGCAGCCTTGGAAAAAGAGCCCAGATTGTGCAGTGTTACGTAAGATTCTTTTCTTCCCATAACCGGCACAGTGCACTGCTGACCTCTTTTCAATAGGGGACAGATTAGCGTGCAGAGGTGCTGTGTGGCTCATCGCTGCGGTGATAGAGAGCTTTTGTCCCCGGTGGTAATCCGCTCGCTCTAAATGCCTCAAACCATGGTATATTGTTTCAAAACAAGGCTGGATTTTCTCCACTATTGAGAGCGAAAAAATGTTGGTAATTCCCAGCAGCTCAGTCTTTTGTGCTGAGCACAGTCTGTTGTTCTAAGGCCCAACTCTTTTGTCCCAGTTCCGGGCTCCCCGGCTCTGCATATAAAGCCTATGTACTCGAAAACGGGTTGCTCGGCAGGAAGTGGTTAATGACCCGCTAGAACACAAAATCATGTGATTGAGCAATTGGCTGCTCGACTCAGAAAGTAACAGACATGAAGACTTTGGTGGTGCATCTTGACTATCTTCAAATAAAATGCATATTTTTGGCTATTTCTGTCAGTACACACTGCTGTAAACTGCAAAAAAAAATACTCAAAAACTTGCATGTGGTTGTGACTCTTCATAAAATATATGATTGTTGTGTCATCTATAGTCAGTGCACATCACAACTATCTGCCAAAATTACTACCAGAACTTCCAAAACATCAACAACACTCTGGATGAACATTACACTAAATGGCACTGACAGGGTTTATTGGGGCTTGTCCAACTGTGCTACACCAGCGCAAATGGAGTTTTACGTATGATTCTTTCTTTACACATTCTGCTCTCAGTTATGGGCATCTACTCATGTTTACAAGCAGTTTGTCCGATAAAAAAAGTCCATCCTGTCTCCTACCCAAGCTGCAGTTTGCCTAACTAAACTGGGCACTGTCACAGCAATAAGCCAATCCATTAACTCCCGCCCTCCTCCTACCCACCCCCCTGCCCCCGCCCCCACCCCCACCTCTGTCCCCCCCCCCCTTTTGCTCTGACCAATCTTGGTCACAGTTTATGTGGAACAATCATGCACACCCTTGTGACACCTGATCAACCAGTGTAACACTGCACTGGGGAAGGAACGTGTGTGCAGTGGGCGGGAATTACTGGATCCCTCTACAAAGATGAGTCTAAGCTTTGCAATCAACATGATTTTCACCACAGCACCTTTGCCGAAATGTGGCAAAGCAAGGGAAAAAGGGAAGAATGGAGTGTTCATGCCAGCAAACACCCGTGCCAAGTTGTCAGTGTAAAAAAAGATGCCGCAACTTACCATGGCAAGAAATGGACAGCCAATTCAAGGGTGCATTGAATAGAATGAAATGAAATGATGGGAACAAATGAGAATGCAGGAAGATAAAAACCTTACAGCCAGAAATTCCAATTACAAAGGAAATCAACCACGACTTCAGCTCAGTAAAAATTCACCAGGCTGGCCATTCTGGAACGGGTCTGAGGCCACGTCCCAATGACTAGATTGCATCTGAATATACCACCCATGCCTATGGAAGCAGCCTGCCAGTGGCTTCATGCATTTCCCAGTGGAACTCTTCTTTTTCTTGAGCCGTAGCCAAGAAATTGGGCATGAACTTGAGCTGCATCAGAACCAGATGCATGGCTTTAGGTTTTGACAGTAACAAGTTAAAATTATAATTTAGAGCAACAAAAAAGGGCATTTTGGACGTGGTCTCACGCAATATAATCATATCCCCCGTGACTATGACGTAGTCAGAACCCATTTGGGGATTTGAGCCAGGTCTGTAGATACTATGCAAAGAAGCCACGCAAGACTCCAAATACATCATTCTTTGCATGCTGAATTGAAAAATCAATGCATTTCAATCATATGCTGAAACGAAATGCAAAGGAGGTTTGAGAGAGGTTAGACATTTTGTTTCAGGGAGGCAGACAAGATCGGGGTTGTCTGAGATGCGTTTAGGAATGTGAAATGCAATCATCCTACTGGTGGCAGAGAATGTTTCAAACAAAACTGAACGCAGAAAGCACGCCCAGACAGAACACACAGCGCTGTGAATCTGGTTGTTTGGAAAAGATGAGAACATAACCTTGAATTTCAAGGTTGCACTGAGAGTAACATTACAAAGGGTTATCAACATGTACATACATGCACCAAGACAACAAATTTATAGATTCGTTCAAAGACAAAATCATTGGGGAAAAAATCTCCGTGTTCATGTCTGTCTTGGCAAATCCTCAGAGCAACCGGAAGGCTGAATGAACCAAACAGACGAGACACATCTACTGAGCACAAATGCAAGTGGAAAGAAATTCTCTCACAAAAGAATTAAAATGGTAGGTTGAAGGTCTAGCCTTGCTTTCTGTTTCAAACAGTTGGAAGTGAAGATATAAACTTGCGAAACCAGGAGTGGGACAACCACTGGTATTTGTGGCCCCTACTGACCTCATTAGGTTCTCGGGTAATTTGTCGTTACCTCAGTGGGGAAATTGTGGGCATTACGGCACGGCTATCTACTCAAAAGTATGAAAGACGTGGAAGGTCAACTGTATACAGAGTAGACTGAACAGAAAGAGTTGGCAAATTGTCCTCTATGAACAATTCAATCACTGTGCGTACATCCAACCCAGTTGATAAAGCTAGGGGTACAACACAGGTCTCCACATTCCTACAGAGGCCAACTACATGCGTTGAGAGTGATAGAAGGTCAAGGGTCAGTCCATGGGGGTCAAAGGTCACCTACCTGCGGCAAGTCCTTGAGCATCTGCAAACCATCCCCTGGTCCCATGTGGGTTATGTGGTTGAAGTCGGACGGCCCTGATATCATAGACTTGCGATCTTTTGTCCTTGGAGTTTGGAGGTGAAAAAATAGGGTAAAACATTAATAAACTTGAAGAGCAAATATAAAAAGGAGAGATACTAATTGAGCCGAAATTGCTTTTAGTTGGATATGTATGGACATTTTTTAATTTTAACCACTTGCTACTGGGGGCAGTTATCAATGCTGATGATGCTGGTCCGGGATAATTATCATTTTTTTTTTCTGTTTTCAAAATTCTTTAAAATTCCTATCTTCATTTACTGGACACTTACAAACATGTGAAGGACTGTTTGGTGTCCACTCTAGCCTGACAGACAAAATCTATTGACACCCGAGTATTTCAGCCAAGCCTGTATTCTTGTAAAAAGAGTCCAGATTGTGCGGTGTTATATAACTTTCTTTTGTTCACGAACCTGGCTCAGTGCGATGCTGACCTCTTTTCAATAGGGGCCAGATTATCGCGCAGCAGTACTGTGTGGCTCATCCCTGCGGCAGTGGAGCCCTTTTGTCCCCAGTGGTAATCCGCTTGCTCTAAATGCCCCAAACCGTGGTATACTGTTTCAAAACAAGTCTGGATTATCTCCACTTTTGAGAGTGAAAAATGTGGGTAATGCCCAGCAGCCTGGTCTTTTGTTTAATACAAGGCCCTGTTCCCTTTGTCCGAATTCGGAAACCCCGGCCACGCATATAAAGCAAACGTGTCTGGATCCGGAATCCCCGGCAGGAAGTGGTTAAGGGCTCCTTTGGGAATTTTTTTAGGACACTTCCATTTTGCAGAAATTTCAACACTCAATGGAAAATTTCACAGCTAATTCCAAGCCGAGACGATCCAATGAAGTCCTTGACCTCTGCAGCTTGAGGTTGCATTCCACCAAACGGCAAAGTGCGGGTCATGAAACTCAGCACAACTCTGGAACTTCCTGAATGTGGCACAACCATTCCACGACTTAAACAAACAGCCCTTCCAACTTCCAACCTGGAACTGGGCAAAGGGTCAGCATTCATTCTGGTGGTTACTGGGTCTCAACTTACTTCTTGATTTCTTCCCTGTTCTTGAAGGAGAACCTGCCTTTATCTCTCTTGATGTTCTGTTTGTTTGCGTGTGGGATCACCAGGTCGTCCTTTTCTACTTCAGAAAGGAATCCAAATTGAAATCCCAAATCAGAAAGTCATTTGAGAATTAAAAACAAGTTTACTTGGTCAGGATATTGGTATTTGTTTTGAAAAATGCACCATGACATTGGAGCATCTCAAAATGTTCTGGTTGCTCTAGAAGGTCCCGTTAGGCAGCAAAGGCGAGATTAGAGGGTGAAGAAATATCATGCAAACATCCAGTCCCTAAAAGGTTGTCTCAGAGACATAGCCTGACTTTTCAGGGCTGTAACAGCGAAAAAGACGTGAGTTCCCATTCCAACAATGGCTACGGTTATGTGAATCTTGTAATGTGCTTTTGACACAAAGTGTCAAACATTAGCAAATCTGTAATGAATACATTTCTAAAAATCAAGTTTCTTTTTGACAGTCAAAAACCCTGAACTCCAGAAAAACCCTTGAGCAATCGCACCCCTGTGGTACACAACACCATGTTTGAACAATGAGTGGGCCGTACCAGAGGCAGCACACCAAAGAACAAAAGGGGGCAAACACAGGAACACAACTGGTTTTAGGAGCTCTACCCCACGGCAAAACAATTGGCCAACTACTAACAGGCAGAGCTCCAATCTTTCCCTTGTTTGAGACACTTTCCCTTGAGAAACCGCCAAGTTTAACACAAAAGCGGCAACACTGTCTTTACTGGGCACCTTTTCGAACTATGGAATTCAGGTCAAATGGGCCCCCAGTTTGTAACAGTCAACTCAATGACTTATTTTGGTGCTGCTTTGGTAGGGGACCACATTATTTGATAGTGTTTTACCTCCCTCGCTGTCGTTGTTCTGAAGGTACATTAGCCTGGGGGTGTGCAGGTCGGTGACGTAGCAAAGGTTGAAGCTGCCATCGCGGTTCAAGGGATGCGTCTGTGCAAAGCAAAACCAGAGAGGACTGAACACATCAACAATTCTTTCAACAATCACTCGTCAACCCTAGCTCTCCAAGCTCCTTCGTAACCCTAGAGAACTTTTCGGGGGATCAAGGAAGCTAGAGCCCCAATGTATCTTGTTTACATTCAAACCAGAGTGCATGTACATGTTATATTTAACAGGCAGTCAAAGTTCTGGGGCAAACATGTACTCCGTTTTCAAGTAGACTTTCTCATACGCTCCACAACTGCTTACATTTCTCTTCACACCACATAGGGTTACGCCCTACAAGTTCCTCACCCCTTTGATTGGTATTGTCTGAAACCATTCCATGTGATTAACATCGACAATGTCGAAAATGTCCACGGAAACCTCACTGTAGACCACAAGGTGGGGGTGGTTGTAACCTGTACCAAAAAATCAAAAAATGTCAAATAAAAATGACTCACCCAACAGAAAATTCCAATCACAATTAAACAGAATTCACGGGAGACCCATTCAAACAACTCTGATCAGAGAGATGCAAATGAAAACAAATCAGGACAAAAAATCCCAGCATTGCACGGAACTGAAAAACCTGCATCTGCTTCAATGTACATGGGTACACCGACACCCCAGGAAAAGTGGACAGGTACTAAGTTTACTGCACAGAGAGTTGACTGCCGTGGAGGAAAGGGAGGAGTTAGAAATGAGATGGGGGGGGTATGAGTCCAATTTCAGACTACTTGGATCTTTTCTCCAGGAACTGGCTGCACTGTGTCTGCTGACAATATGCTGTCTTCCTGGGAGAGGCCACTTTCAAAGAAACAGTGAAGAGCAGTACCTGGACTTATCAATTTTCTCGGTGAAACCACAAGATCATCCATTTCATCAAATTTTGACCAAGGTAAGTGAAGGTGCTCATACAATGAGGTAACTGACCAGTGTCGGCCATTTATTCATTTCACTCACATATAGCAGTGGGTACAGCAGGCCACATGAGTTCTTGTTTTCTCGTCCGTCGGCCTTGGTAGTCCACATACACACCAACGGCTACAGGAGAGATTCCGTCAAGATTTAGTTTTAAATCAGCATGTCACGGGTAGTTGTTGTTTCGCTTAAGAAAGTGCAAGGGACACATTGTGTTACTTGGGAACTGTGAGAAAATCTGGCCTTTTCTTTACTTTTATAACATCTCCAAAGCAGTCGGACAAATTTTTCTGATTACTTTCATTTCCCTCAACAATTTCACAATATGAACGCTCCAGCACTTTCCAAGCTAGACAGAATGTATAGGTGTCTTGTTTTTTTAACAGATGACTTCCAACACAGTCAGACGCATGAGTATTTTGGATGTCGTGACACACATCAACTGTGCCATACTTCGAAGCTGTTTGGCTCAAGACACGCATGTATAGCATGTATTTTCACATACTGAGTGACAAAGGCACCTGATGGCGTTGAAAATGCAGTAGTAACTGTCCTGCAAAGACGATGTCCTATGAGAGAGACCCATACTCCATTATACAAGACTGGCTCCACAAATACGGGAAAAAAATGCACTACGTGAAGTCCCCATGAGGCTAAAGACTGTTTAAAAACATAAAACTCTTCTAAGAGCCCCACACCCTGATGCCTATACTTACTCATAAAGCATAATAAATATTCTTTATTGCTGATCTGTACGGCAGCCAGCGCGTCCACTGGTGTTTTCTGAAGGTAGGACAGGGAGGGATCATCCACATTCAACAAGGCTGTAAAAATGCCAACAAAAGGAGTTGACACGTCAATAAAACACACCTTTTCATTGCTAAGTGCAACGAAAGACACTCTGAGTAATGACAGGATTTCAAGTTGGAAGAATGTGCAGACTCAAGAAATCAAACCAACTCAAGCGTGTAATTTGAATTTCAAACATAAAACTCCAGTACTTTTTAAGGAGGGAGGGGAGGTGAAAGGCTCTCGGAACATCTACCCCTCCTCGACCCCCGCCCCACGCATTCAAGCTGGTTCCACAAGGTCAAGAGAACTTACGCTGGATGTGCTGGCCATCCCCTTGTATGCTGAAGAGGCCAAAGCCGGACGTATAGCCGGCGCACAGCCGCTCTTGGAACAGCTCCAGGCAGGAGCAGGGTGCCGGCAGGGTTAGCTCCTTGATCTTGCGGTGGCGCAGCTTGGTGCGGTTGAACTCATAGACCACAACGTGGCGCTTCATGGCCACGCACAGGCACATGGTGGAGCCCTGACGGATGCGGCCCGTGGTGAAGAGGGTGCTCCCCTTGGGATCCTCCACTTTGATGGTGTTGGTCTCCTGGTCTAGGGCCAGGATGGGGATCAGGCGAACGTGACGACCCCTGCCTGCAGGTTGAATTCAATGGTGAGAAATACAACCAGTAAGATTACATCCATGTACATGTATCTGTGAACGTTTGTTGGCACATAAATTTTCAAGTACATATTTGCTGCTTACTGCAGCTAAGCAACTGGGAATTCAGGGGAAACAAGAGGAAATTCCAACTGCATTTTTGTAGAGTGTTTTCAATTTGTAATAGTACAAATGAGAAGTAAACATAAAAGGAAAACAACAAAAGCAAGGGAAAGTTGCGAGCCGGCATTAAAGAAGCTCCATAAAGATTGCTCTGCACTCTTCTACAAAGGTTTACTAATAACACCTCTAAATCAGAATGCCAGGCATTGCTGGAGTGTTTCTTGATCAGATCATATAGTATTCCCACTGGATTGCTCACTACGTTCAAATTTTTCATTGCTCTATAAAGAGCCTTGAAACGCCAAAGATCCAAAGATGAAGACCATAAGGTCCACTTTTTCCTCCCACAAGGTTACGGGCCAAGAAAAACAATCAGAACGTAGACACCCTGAGAGAGTGAATCGCTCTCAAGGCGACTCACCGACACCTACCTGAGATGACAACAATGAGCTGTTCGGTGGGCACAATCTCAACCTGGAATATCTTCTTGTTATCTACCCGCACAATGAAACCGGTGGACAGCTGAAGGCAGTACAAACCCTCGTCCGTCCCAAGCACAAACCTATCCGAATCTGCACCACCAAAAGACATCGAGTTCCAGATTAGTCATTCCAAGCAACGGCTCTACCAGCACTTTTCATATCTAATGACTGTGAGTAGGATCACTTAGGCCGTGTCCGAAACGGGCTTCCAGAGCTACGACTAGGTCTACTGTCTACGCGTCTCCACGCATTTCTAATGGAGCGAAGACCTAGACATAGCTCTAGACCAGAGATTCGGATGCAGCCTTACTTTGTTGGTTGAATGCTCATGTGCTCATTATATCACTCAATTCCCCAACACTCCCATGTTATTGATTTATTTGATAGCAGTTTTATTATGAGTTCTTGAATTTGGTTTATACTCCTATTTCTGTGTAACTTATGCATCTATTATGTCTATTCTCAGTTAAACCTTATCAGAACACATATGGTCAGTTGACAGAGCAAAGCAAACTGAGACAAAATGAAACGGCGTTCAGAATTTCTCTGGCAGGTTAAACTTGTGGGGTGCAAGACTAACCGATGATATCTGCACAGTGAGCCATCTTGATCAGCGACATGCTGGGGTCGCACACCTCCTTGGCCAGGAAGACGGGCTTCTCTGGCCGCTTGTTGCGCCGCAGAATGCGGTGCAGCTCGTTCAGGGCGTTCACCCACTTCCTCTTGTCGTTCTCGCTTGAGGCCAGGAGGAGGAACTGGGCGGTTATGCCTGGGGGATTCAGCTGAGATGCTGCCACCTGTCAGGGGCACAGACCATTGGTTAACAAGGACATGTCATCATGGATGCCAACCAAAAAAGTTACGATTTTCCTGTACTGCTGTATTCCATAGGAAAATTTACAACTCAAATCACAAGGGTCCTTCTTGCTTCATTTCAAGTGACACCAGGAGGTTTTGAGGTTTTCCAGGACCACTCATTATTACTTGGCCTTGGCCTACTGACCTTGTAACTAAAATTTGTGGTTTACGAGCATGAAATTAACAAAATAAGAGCTATCTACACTGGAGAAAAAGTCCACTACTCTCAACAGGATTTTTTGCCATGAAGACAGAATTCCTGCAATTAGTAGGAAAGATACAACAGTTTGAAATGCAATTCAAAGCACATATATCACTGCTCAGTATGACCCTCACCTTGAAGATGCAAGGAACATCCTTCCGATCAGCATGAATTACATCTGACTCTTTGACAGTGCTGACCTGGAAGTCCTCATCCCTAAAGAAAAAGACAAACGACATTCTAGTCTTCGATTTAAAAAGGAACATGAGGCCCAGAAATGATACTCAATTTCGAACACTAATATCTAAGAATTAATACGCCCGAGACAAGAATCACAAGATCAGAGACAGTTGATTACAAGTAGAATGAAGGAGGAAGCATGAAGGATGTCCAGTAGGTGCTACCTATCTCTCAGTGGAAGAAAACACCACGTCACCACAGTCAACAATAGACAAATACCTTACATGATCAAATGCAAGCTTTTCCAATACATCGCTTTTGCTTCTTGCCATCCGCAATTTCATTTTCAAGTTTTGGACTGAGAATAATTACTTCTTTCTACAATCCATGAAGTACAGGCTTTGAGCAAAATCCCACCTTCAGCGGCAGGAAGAGAGAAAAAAATACTGCTGTTGACACTGTGCCTCTCACAGGATGTGATAAGTTCTTGCACTTTCAGTCAAATATTGGTTTAAAGAGGTTAAACCTGAATGTAGGAACCAATGCCCACATGATAAATGGCCTTTCTTGGCCCTCACAATGCACCACCCACGATCCCCCCAGAGAGCCCCTAGTGCCAAGGGTGGCCTCCCCTCACCTCATGTCAATGATGTGGGAGGGCTCCAGATTGCTCTGGTTGCTCTTGCCTTCCACCATGTCAAACAGGAAGAGCTTGAAGTCGCAGACCACGGCAAACTGCCGCATCCAGCCCTTGCGCACCCCGCCGGGCTTGGGGATCCTCAGGATGCCCTCGTAGGCCGTGCCAATGCCCCGGTTGGGATCAACCCCCAGGGGCTTGGCGACTATGGAGGAAAAACAAGGCAAAACAATGACTGGGTGCAAGGTTGGATGCAGTTGTATGAACGAATCGTTTCACGTGACATTTCCGATGGCCCCCTTTAATGGTAGAAACATTGCATTGGGTTTTGTGTGGAACAAGCGTCACGGAACAGTGGCAATGCACAATAGTTACAACAGTGC